GTCTTGGACAGGAGCAAGACTCTGTCTCACAAAAAAAAAAAGAAGAAGAAGAGAAAGAAATTGGCAAGAAAGAGTTGGTGAATGTAGAGGAACCTGCAACCTTTCCCGCCATGCCCGATGGTTGCTACCCACCCCTATCCCCATGGAGGATGTGCTATACTTAGGAATAACCAGAATAGGCAGCTGTCAGTCATAAATTATGTGATGTGAATGTATCAATACTTTGGGGTGATCATCAGAGAGTGCTTCCTGGAGGAAATGGCATCGATGGTGAATCCTGCAAGATGAGACTAAAACAACAAAGTGATGCAGAAGGGTTTAAACGTGTTTCTCAGCAGAGGGAATAGAAAACTGTTGAGTGAGAATTTACAAATTTAGAGAGATCCCATGAGTTCCCGACTGTGATTACCCCATCTCTTCGCCACCCACCGCCATGAGATCCCAGCTTAGGTCCACCATGCCCAGAGGCACAAACAACAAACAAACTTATTACACCCTTAGAGTGTGATAATGGCCTTGTGCTCATGTAGCAAAGTGTTCTCTCTCTCTCTCTTTTTTTTTTTTTTTTTTTTTGGAGAGCTACAAATTGAAATATTCAGGATGAAATGTCCTGACTCCTTGATGTCTACTTGATTCTAAAAATGTCAATGGAAATATCAGATGAATCAAGGGCAGCGAATGTCAACAATTCATACATCAGATGGAACATTGTTTTTCACTGGATGACATATAAATCATTCCACCAAAGTGATGGATGTTACTTACACTGTCCTCTCTGCTTTTCTGTAGGTTCGAAAAGTTGCATTTAAGAGTAAAATGCACTCACGAGCACTCTCCATTTCTTTTGGTTCTAGGGTATTCTCTCCAGGAAAATCACGTCTTGATGAAGAATACAGGTAAGCCTCAAAGAAGCCCCAGCCCAGGGGAGGGTGGAGGCCACCCCATACTTTGCCTTGTCAGAGGGCACCATGCACACAGGGTCTTAAATGATGATGAACATTGGCCAACACCATGCACACAGGGTCTTAAATGATGATGAACATTGGCCAACACATCCCTTCTTGAGGCACACTGAAGGGATAGGGGAGTCCCAGCCTGCTGGGGTTTCTGGACCATGAGGTGTTGAGCTGCTGAGCTTTGCTACACAGGGCTGTGCCCATGCTCAGGCAACAACAGGTCCAAAAAGGAGCCCTGGGAGGTGGCCAGGAGGTGGCTCACCCTGGCTCTTATCTCCCCAGGCCTTCCCTTCTGGGCCATCATCGTCATCTCGCTGGCAGGACTCCTGGGATTAATAACATGCCTCTTCACCTGTTTCCTGGTGAGCAAGAAAAGGGTGCTTGTCTTCTTACCACTGGGTTCTAAGAGTTATTAATATATTATCCATATAAGTCCTCTGCTGGTTATATGTTTTGCATATTATTTTCTCCCAGTTTGTGTGCGGCTTACCTTTCTCTTTTAATTTTATTTTTAATGGACAAATAATAAATGTATCTATTCAGGGGGTACAATGTTGTCGTTAGATCTGTGACATTATGGGTTAAGTCGAGCTCATGAACATATCACTTCGCAGGTCTATGATTTATTCGTGGTGCAAACATTTGAAATCTGATCTGTTAGCAATTTTGAAACATGCATTCCATTATTATTATTAACCACAGTCCCTATGTGGTGCAATACATCTCACACACTTGACAGCATTAGTCATTGAAATGTACATGAAGCCACAATGAGATGGCGTTACACACAAGAATGGCTAAGATTTAAGGCTGACTATAACAAGTGTAGACGAAGATGTGGGGCAACTGCAACTCTCATAGAGTGCTAGTGGAAAGTAGCCTGGCCATTTCTTTGAAGATTACATACACCTGCCATATGACTCAGCCATCCCACTCCTGGTAATTTATCGGAGAGAAATAAAAGCATGTGTCCATACAAAGACTTATATACAAATGTTCATAACAGCTTTGTTTTCAATAGCCAAAACCTGAGAACAGTCCCAATGTCTGTCGACAGGTATATGTGAACAATAGAATACTATTCAGCAGTAAGAAGGAAGAAATTATTAATATGTGCAACAACATACATAAATTGCAAAAAATAATTATGCCAAGTGAAAGAAGCCAAGGAAAGAGTACATACCATACGATTCCATTTATTTAAACCTCTGGAAAATACAAGTGACAGTAGGGACAGAAATCAGACCCGTGGTTGCCTGGGAATGCAAATGTGTTTGCAAGTGTCAGGGGAAAAGGAATTATAAGGGAGCAGGAGGAAACTCTGGGGAATGATGAATGGGCATCCCTTATCCTGACTGTGGTGGTGGTGATTCAATTAAGTTATAATCGAAATGTGTTATATCATTCACGTTAAATGTGTGCTGCTTATTGTGTGTCAGTTACACCTCAGCTAAGCTGGAGGGGTGAGGGGAAGGCAGGGAGAGAGAGAGAAATGAAGGCATATCGGAGGGGGGAACGTAAAAAAAAAAAAACATCAAGAGTGAAAGGGGAGAGAGAAGACAAGAAAGGGGTGAGAAGAGGAGAGAAGGCGAGGAGAGGGATCGAGGGAGGTAAGAGGAGAGAGACGCAAGAAGTGTCAGGGCTCCAGCTCTGGCCACGTTCTCACCCCTGGGGCCAGCGCGGGCCGCCAGCAGTCCACTCTGAGCCCTTCTCTTTGCCCTCACAGGTGATCGCCTGCCTGCGAAGGAAGAAGGTGGGCGACTACGAGATCCAGGAACGCCACCTGGGCTACTACCTGGCCCTCCTAGACCTGAGGAAGCGGCAATGACTGCATCTTCCTTGGGTCCCTTTTCCCCAGCCAGGCCCCAGAAAAGCTTGGCTGGGGCAGAAATAAACCACATTGGTCAGACGCTGTCTCTGAGCCTTCCTTGACTTGGCCCCTGAGTGGTTCCCAGGGGACTAAGAGAAAAGTCCTCCTTCCTCCTTCATTAAGTCTAGAAGGCATCTATCAATTCTCTTTTCCTTTTTACACAGTAACAAATTTATTAAACCGATTCATACAACAAAATAATTTCTCGTTCACACAAAGGTTGAGGGACTCTCCAAGATAGCTCTCCTCCACATAGTGACCCATGGAACCAGGCTGCTTTTGTCCGGGGGTTCTGCCACTTATAATATTTAGCTTCTGTGGTTACCAAGGCCATGGAAGAAGCACCTGGAGTGTCATCGACTGGATCATAAATCCAGGAGTGACACAGATTACCCTCCTTGTAGCACATCGCTAAGACCAACTAAACAACGCCTGCCTAAATGCAAGGGGAGTATAAAGACCGGCTCCATAGCATCTCGTCCCTCAGAGACACCAGAATTGGTGACATTGGTATAGAAATTGCCACTGCTTAAAAGGGACATCCCACTCCCACTCTGTGTCAATTTTCCCTTCTTAGTCATGCTGCACCCATTAGGTGTGCATTTACTCATCCCCTCCACTCCCCCCCCTGCTCCCCGACACCAAGTGAATGTCACTACTATATGTGCACTCAATTGTTGGTCAGTTAAGTCAGCTAATGCCAATCTGATGGCGAGTACACGCGGTGCTTGTTTTTCCATTCTTCTGATACTTCACTTAGCAGAATGGGCTTCAGCTCCATCCAGGATAATACAAGAGGTGCTAGATCACCGTTGTTGTTTTTTTGTTTTTTTTTCTGGCTGAGTAGCACCCCATGGGACACCTATACCACATTTTATTAATCCACTTATGTATTGATGGGCACTTGGGTTGTTTCCACATCTTTGCAATTGTGAACTGTGCTGCTATAAACATTCGAGTGCAGGTGTCTTTTTTACAGGATGTCTTTTGTGCCTTTGGGTAGATGCCCAGTAACGGGATTGCTGGTGAACCTCTGTGGAAAGTAATATGGAGACACCTCAAAGAGCTACAAGTAGATTTTCTTTTGAACATAGAGATATAGATGAAAAGTGAGGAAGGAGAAAGAAATCCAAAGTGGAGAGGGCATTCTTAAGTGACTCCTTTTGTGGAGATGGCCATAAATCTGATGACAAGTATAAGCTGTTTTAAGCTGCCTTACTTACCTTTTGGTAGCCGCTGATTGTAATACTAAGGTCCCCACTTAATGGGAAGTACTGCGCATGCTTAATCAGTACCTTATGTAAATATGCGAAGACTTCCTTC